GCATTAGAACCATATACAAAGTTAGACAATAAAAAATATAGATTAGCAATAAGTAGATTTAGGTTGAGTTCACATCAGTTAAAAATAGAAACAGGAAGACACACAAAGCCAAAATCCAAACCTGTAAATGAAAGATTATGTAATATATGTAATTGTGTAGAAGATGAATTTCACTTTATCATAAATTGTACAAAGCATTCTCAACACAGGCAAATATTTTTCAGCAAAATTTCTGAAACATTACCAAAATTTGATTTAAATAGTGATAATTTATTTACAAATATAATTTCAAGTGATAATACCATCGTACAACGGCACCTTGGTAAATTTATATATCACTCATTTAACAATTTAGAATAGTCAGCATATTTTGTACATCACACTTAAAAATATTCTGCCTCTCTTGTATGCTTTCAATATGCATATGGAATTTTTGTACATTACTTTGTAAATGTAGAAGTAGTTTTAGTTAGTCTTAGTGAGTAGTTGTGACTAATGTAATCATGTAATGATACAATATGTCAATAAAAGTTATATATAATATTGTGAACAACTAGGTGGTGACACTTTGTCATGTTAATGCCTTGTTTTGAATATGAAGTGCTCTCTGTGTATTGTTACCTTTTACCTGAATATTTATATAGAAATAGAAAATAGAATAGGAACAACAAACATGCATGTGACATGCTTGTGCATATGCCATATTTACATTTGTAATTCCATGTGATTTTGGGAATTTGAAATATTTTTGATATATATATAACTTTTATAGACATCTTGTATCATTACAGGATTACATTAGTCATAATATAAAGGCTTATAGATAGTTAGCTGAGATGTGTGCAGAGAGGTAGTAGCAATTTAGAGCATGTTCTTCAAATGACCATTAAATGGCCCATAAACATGCTTCAGTAATGAAACTTTTTCAACCCACATTGAACATTGAACCAACTTTAATTATGTTAAAAAAGATTTGTCAAAATCTATTCGTTAAAAAGATATGCATTATTAGATGCATTGCATTTATGGTACACCCTATATTTATATAAATAATATTTCAAAAAATGATATAAGTTAATAATAATATGTATGAAATACTTCCAAGCATTAATGTGTCATCAATCATCTTCATGTTTGATTTTACTAATTAAATGAGCAGAAGACAATTCATATTTGACCCTGTATATAATAATGATAATTAAGTTAATCAGACTAATAGGTGATACCTAAGGGACAATGAACCCATCGACATACTTTTTCAGAACATGTTGATTTAGTTTTCACTGAAAAAGCAACCTTTTACCTTTGTAATGGTAAATGCATAATTAAAATGTGCTTTGAGACATGCTCTATTTCTTAGCAGGAAAAGTGGATTGCTTCAGGGACTTTAAATATACAGAATTTGGATGACCAAAATGAGCTAAAATCAATGGGTAGCATGAGTTTTCTCTTCAGGAAATAACTTTGGGAACACTGATCTTTGAGCAATTCAGTTTTCCATTCAAAAACTAATTGATACATTGATATAACACTAGTTGAACTGCATGATGCAATATTAATTTAACCCTGAAATATTTTCAGCTTGAAGATTCAAGAATTATCTGGTAGTTATCAGGTTAGGTATTTGATATCAATGTTAATTAGACTTTGATCAGAGAAAAATTTGGGATAAGACATAAGTTGTACTGTAAAACTACAAATGTTTAATTTACATTTAGTTAATGGTTAAGACATTTAGTGGGGCTGTGCATTTGAGTGAATTCCAGTTGCAGTAGTAATAGGATTTTTAGCTTATATGCATCCTCCAAATCCAGGGGTCCAAACATCATCCACTATCAAGACTGTTCTTATGAACATGATGAAGACAATAAGAACCCATCGTGAGATATCACAGCCTCCTATATTTGCAAAGCAGAGATGGTCTGTGTATCAAATAAAACTTAGTAGATGAGGTTTGTCCTAAGCTCAGAGGAAATAATTTTTAAGTATCAATTCTCTTTGACTTTATTTTTCGTCCAGGGAAAAGTTGTATTCATTGAAAAGTACAATTCTATTCAAATATATATATTGATATGAATACATGTGCAGTGTGCATCTTTCATTAAGGGGATATTACAAAAAGCCTTAAGGGCTAGACACAAGATAAGAGGAATGTCAACTAATGTCACTGTATTGTGAAAAATATTTATTTTTCTTTATCTCAAGGTTGAAGTGGGAAATATCGATTTCCAGGAATTATTAGAAAATACTGACTTCTACCTGGTCTTTATTTTTACATTACTACAAAAGATATAAATTATTTTATTTATTTTATTGTTTACATAGACAAAATAATAGAGATTGGATGCAAATACATATTTTATTTATTTATATTATATATTTATTTTTGATCAACACAATAAAATATAAACTGTATGACAAAAATATACACATTTGTGTGTGAGTGATCACATTGCTGCATATGGTGTATGATATAATGAACCCATATGTCCATCAGATTATGTGATAAACTCAGTATATATTTCCAAAATAGCTCACACAGGCATAATGTCAATTAATATGAAAGTCAAAATGCCCAACATTATGCAATGACACAGCACAGTAATACCAAGGCCTACATATACAGTTATATACCCTGCATAGCAGACAACCATTATGCATAATGTAAAAGTGTGCAAGACCTGTTCCTCATGTGCTCCCAAACATAAAGGAACACTTCATATTAAAAGCAGAAAATAACAACATTTGAAAATTGCAAAAATACAATCAACACATGTAAACGATACAATAGTGTAAATAATGAAACTATCTGAAATTTTATTCAATTTTAAAATGAGATAATGAAGAATCTGCATGAGAAGGGGGATATTTTAAGCATGGGTAGCTGCTGTCTGGATAAAATCAATAAGCCCCTGCTAAGAGAGGTAAAAGCATAGACCCTGTCTAGACTCTCTATCAATACACGCCTAGATTACAGCAAAGGTAGATTCCCGATTCCTCCTCCTAAAAGTGCTAAGTCCATTTTCAGCTGAATGAATATCTCCTTGACAATTCACTGTTTGGTTGATTTGGTGGTACATGAAGCACAGAAACATAGACCAGCTGATTTGCTGGTAAAATTACACCAAGTGCTATATTTGATTTGATGTTCAATTTCTGATTGTTTAATTTGATCTTTTGCAGGCCTTGATATAATAATTGAATTAACTTATTTTTGCAGACTCACAAAGATTAATTATTTGTTGAGTGGTCTGCTCAGTAGACAAGTCTCTGTCTAGTCATTACATGTAAATCAGATGGCGGAAGTCATTCCAGGGAATATATGGAATTCACAGAAAACTGAAAAAAATATACAAATACAATATAATCAATTACTGTGTCAATATTTAATCTATAAAGCATACAGACGATTATTACACATTGTTATTGCTAGCTGTATATGGCCAAGAAATTGTGTATGGCCAAGAAATTGTATATGGCCAAGAAATTGTATATGGCCAAGAGATCATGATGATAATGCAGGTCGTCCTAGTCCTAATCGCCCAACCTGTAAGTATTCTCATACAAGTTAGGGTCTCAGGGAAAGGACATCCCACTCTGTCTCTTCAACCATTTTGTGATGTCACACAACAAAGGGCTGTCTATCTTTCGAACAACTTCAAATATCAAACAATAGCCCTCAAGCATGTCATTGTGATCCTTTTCTAGATAATGCTACGTGCAGTTTCTGTGGTGTATTACTGTATTTCCCATGGGTGTGATGTCAAATAATTAGTTAATTTATAACACAATATCTAGCCTCGTTCATCTTCATTTATGTCCAGAAGAGATTGTGTCCATTGACACTGTGGCTTCACAATCCTTATGTAGTGAAAACTCATCAACATCACTGTTATAACAAATATTTCATATTTTGAGTATACTCAAACCCAAATCACTAGAGTACATAGGGGTATTGTCGGATGATCTTCAATAATTAATATCGTTTTTTATGATTTCTTAATTGAAACCGTTAATTTGAATTTCAAATCTACCCTGTCTTTGGAAAATCAATGATTGTGAGTCTCACACTACACCGTTTTTCTTCAAACTAATTCCATTAAAACCTTCACAGAAATACCTTTCAGTCGAGACATTGCCTTTGTATACAAAGACCCTTGTTTTAGCGTTGTTTTGGTCCCCAAATGTGAGAAGTTGCAATTCCTCAGAGATATCAACCAAAATCCTTGATATCTCGTCAGTTCTTCTATCACTCTCCCCTATATTTTGCGCAAGGACTCCCATTAGAACCCTCCATCCCTGCATCAACATATGTATTATTATTACATGAAACGCAGCAATTTTGTAAAGTCCTACACAACTGTCTTCCAAAACACCCCGCAGAGTCTGTGATTACAAATGTGTATCTAGATAAGGTGTATAGATCCAACGGGGCGTTTTGGAAGAGAACGGGGCGTAGGACTTTTGGAAATTGGTGCGTTTAATGTAATAAATATGTTGATGCAGGGATGGAGGGTTATAATGGGAGTCCTTGTACAAAATATATGGGAGAATAATAAAAGAACTGGAGATATATCGAGGCTTTTGGTTGAAATCTCTGAAGATTTGCATCTTCTCACATCTAGGGACCAAAACGCCGCTTAAACGAGTGACTCTGTACACAAAAGCAATGTCTCGAGTGAAAGGTATTTCTGTGAAGGTTTTAATGGAACAAGTTTGAAGAAAAACGGTGTACTGTGAGACTCACAATCATTGATTTTCCAAAGAAAGGGTAGGTTTGAAATTCAAATTAACGGTTTTGCGGGGCGTTTTGGTTTCGATACATCCCCGTGTTAGTTAATACCACGTGGGTTTGTCTGGGAATGCCCTGTGGCCAAGAATGCCCCTATGTACTCTTATAGTCACCACAAAGACAAATTATGAACAAATTACAATTTATGATTTTTATTTGAAGCTATCAGATTTGAGTACTCTAAAGGATTGCATGTTTCCAAATAAATCATGTGAAGTTTAACTGCTCTCAAATCTCAATATATGACCAAAGTTCTTGTATGTTTCCCCTATGTTTCCTACTAAATTCACTAAACTCACTTTGTTTAATGGATAACTGGTTTGAAGCTGTATCACAACTGATAACCAGTTTGATTCTGTACCTGTAGGATGTAAAACTTTGAGACAATCATCCATCACAATGTACTTACTACATGTATTAAACATAATAGCCAGATACTGTTTAAAGAGAATGTTGAAAGGATTAGAGATATTGTTGTATATCCAGGTACCTCTAATAAAACACGACACTGACAGTTACTGTCTTTAAGCTGGAACATCCAGGTATGTTTAATACTACTGGTGGAAGGCTATCAACCCATCCAATAATAAGAATTATCATTTTTTCTGTTTCTTCTTTTTAACCAATTATTTCCCCATTCTATTTAACCTAACAATATTTGTTTTTGTGCAATTGAACCCAACACTAATTATCTTAATCCTATCTAGGCAAACACTATTAAACTCAACACAATTTCCCCTAAGGATATCTAACCCCACACTATTCAACTCAACACAATTTCCCCTATGGAGATTAACCCCATACTATTCAACTCAACACAATTTCCCCTAAGGATATCTAACCCCACACTATTCAACTCAACACAATTTCCCCTAAGGATATCTAACCCCACACTATTCAACTCAACACAATTTCCCCTGAGGATATCTAACCCCACACTATTCAACTCAAAACAATTTCCCCTAAGGATATCTAACCCCACACTATTCAACTCAACACAATTTCCCCTAAGGATATCTAACCCCACACTATTCAACTCAACACAATTTCCCCTAAGGATATCTAACCCCACACTATTCAACTCAACACAATTTCCCCTGAGGATATCTAACCCCACACTATTCAACTCAACACAATTTCCCCTAAGGATATCTAACCCCACACTATTCAACTCAACACAATTTCCCCTAAGGATATCTAACCCCACACTATTCAACTCAACACAATTTCCTCTAAGGATATCTAACCCCACACTATTCAACTCAACACAATTTCCCCTTTAGAAGGATATCTAACCCAACACTATTCAACTCAACACAATTTCCCCCAAGGATATCTAACCCCACACTATTCAACTCAACACAATTTCCCCTTTAGAAGGATATCTAACCCCACACTATTCAACTCAACACAATTTCCTCTAAGGATATCTAACCCCACACTATTTAGTATCCTATTGTCAAATAACCTAACATTGTTTATCCTTGTGTTATCTAACCCACCAAACCCAATACTATTTATCCCAGTGCTATTAAACCCATAATTCTTTTCTCATACTATTTATCATAAATACCTTATACTATCTTTTCTTTGTATCTATTACTAGATATCCAACTATTAAGAATCAAACAGATATTGTTGTTTTCTTGAGGTAGAAATGTGAAACATAAACCTTGAAATGCACAAAGTTGAAATAATATGTCACAATTATATGTAAGGAGAAAGGTTTAATTTCAGACAAATCATTAACATTCAGTCATCATCTCCTTATTAAAGTCATTATTCACTGATTGTTGCCAACATTTCTTGTAGACCATTTACCTTGTGATGACCAAATGATGAACTCGAAAAAGAAGCACAGACACCAAGAAAAAGTGCCGACCAAACGATTGCAAATTGCCGATCACCATCCACTAAAAGTTGGAGACTACACTGTGGTGGAGATAAAATGTAGCCGGTGAAGATGCTAACATCAACCCAAGTGTCAAAATCATAAAAAATAGTATGACGTGGTAATAGATGCACAGATTGTGCAGTGAAGTGGAATGTAATGTGACAGCCAGACAAAAGGAATTGATGAGCCACGATAATCCACAGACCAGACAGTCCAATCAAAGGATTTACAACCTCTGTCTTGCTATTAATACATTATACGCATGTAGCTTACATGAGGTTAAAAGTATATTTCCACCATGCGCCATGACCTCATTCACTTTCAGTATTTGGATATTTTCATTGTGGCACTATCCAAAAGTGACAGATAAAGACTTGAATCATTCGAAAATTGAACACAATCCTGTGTGTCAACCCTTAACCTCTTTTTATATCTTTTATTGACTCTTTAGATGTCATATCATGACATATTAGTCACTAAGGTAGAGCAGTTCTTCCCATTGTCGAGTTGAAGAACTGGTATCTTTATCCTGGCTAGAACCATAGACAATTCTAGCCAGCGCCAGCCTTTTATCGAGTTAGCAGCACTCTAGTAATCGCCGGTATAGGTCAGCAGTCATAGGTCAAAGACAAATCCTTGACTACCTTGAGTGACGAGATTCCAGAAACCCAGAGTGACAAGAAAATCTGTCACAAAAATTTTCACTAAAATTGCTCATATTTTGGCCAATTTTCATCCAATTTACACAAAAAAATTGTTTTCAAATGTGTAGAAATGATCTCTGCCTTCTAATTTTACTAAGTGGAACATCTAAAATTGTATAGGATGAAGTTAAATGTCAAAAGGTGGCAAAACTGAAAAATTCTCTGGTTTCAACCAATTTTAAAGCCTGGGATTCAAGAGGTTAAGCTTACTCAAAATACAAAAATATGGGTCTGTTGGTGCCAGGTTTCATTTCATGAATCGAGATTCAAAATATAATGTTCGATACTTGAAAATAACCAAAGTATCCAGATAGAAGTAGCATCATCCACTATGAAGGAAGGAACAAAGTGCAGGCCGGAGCCAGGATTTACCAAGGGGGTTCATTTTTTAAAAAATTCCAGGTAGGGGTTTGGTATGGCCAAAACCACTTGAAAAGTGCTCAGAATGATGAAAAACTGTACGATTTTGGAAAAAGTTTTGACCAGGGATGGTGTCCGCTCAAACCCCCCGAACTCCCTCCCCCTGACTATGGGCCTGTAGTGGATGATGTCTGGATCCCTGCGTTAGGATGACAGAGGGATGGAAATCATAGTAACACCATTTAAGGTTGGCATTTCAAATGAACTAGCTATGAGACAATAAACAGACATATCTCATTATTGCATCTACATGTACTATTACTGGTATAATTGATTTTCAATTAGTATACGTATATATACTTTATAGGCCGTTCACCATGTAGTATGAGTTGTCCTTCATTGTCCCTATTTCTTATGCAAGTTTTGCCATAGTAGTCTATAGGGCCATAGTGGTCTATATGGACACATATAGAATATCCTGTATATCACACCTTTTATGTAATCTGAATTCATAAAACCAGAAAACCATGCACATTTTAAATATGTGACATGTCTGGTCCAGCACACTTCAAGGCTCTCCAAAACCACTTGAAAAGTGCTCAGAATGATGAAAAACTGTACGATTTTGGAAAAAGTTTTGACCAGGGATGGTGTCCGCTCAAACCCCCCGAACTCCCTCCCCCTGACTATGGGCCTGTAGTGGATGATGTCTGGATCCCTGCGTTAGGATGACAGAGGGATGGAAATCATAGTAACACCATTTAAGGTTGGCATTTCAAATGAACTAGCTATGAGACAATAAACAGACATATCTCATTAAAACCAGAAAACCATGCACATTTTAAATATGTGACATGTCTGGTCCAGCACACTTCAAGGCTCTCCCCATATGGGAGAAGGCTCTCCAATGGGAGAAGACTCACCCCATATGAGAGAAGGTTCTCCTCATATGGGAGAAGGCTCTCTCCATATCCTCATATGGGAGAAGGCTCTCTCCATATGATAGAAAGCTCTCCTCATGTGAGAGAAGGCTCTCACTTGGGAGAAGGCTCTCCTCATATGGGAGAAGGCTCACCCCATATGGGAGAAGGCTCTCCTCATATGGGAGAAGGCTCTCTCCATATGATAGAAAGCTCTCCCCATATGAGACAAGGCTCTCCAATGGTAGAAGGCTCTCTCCATATCCTCATATGGGAGAAGGCTCTCTCCATATGATAGAAAGCTCTCCTCATGTGAGAGAAGGCTCACCCCATATGGGAGAAGGCTCTCCTCATATGGGAGAAGGCTCTCTCCATATGATAGAAAGCTCTCCCCATATGAGACAAGGCTCTCCCCATATGGGAGAAGGCTCTCCTCATATTGTATCAGTTTAGAGTAGTTTAAACTTTGGATTAAAAAATGAAGGATAGAGAGGTTTATGGCATGGGATATTATAACAACATATGCTATATATTCAAATCAGTGATCAATGATTATATGTATATGAGCTTATACATAAAGGAGGACATGATTTTTAGAAGATTTTTGTTATATGACACCACATGGGGTCAACTACTTTACATTGTTTTGAAACATGTCACTTTGTTTGACGACACTGATTCGCCCACCTAGAAGAAGATATATGTTTTTAAGATTTCAAATTGGAGCATTTTTGCTATCAAAGCACATCAAACTATCATTTGCGAATTATCAAACTTACGATTCTCCGATCATGAATTATTGCCCCACCATTGAACTATCATTTGCATATTATTGAACTAACAATTCAACAACCATAAAAAACTATCATTGTCCCATAATAGAACTAACATTGGCCCATTATTGAACAAACAATTCACCAACCATAAACTATCAGTGTCCCATAATAGAACTAACATTGGCCCATTATTGAACTTACAATTCCCTAAGCATGAACTTTTATTGTCCCATCAATGGACTAATATTGGCCCATTATTGAACCAACAATTCAACAACCATGAACTATCATTGTCCCATCATTGAACTGACATTTACCCATTATTGAACTAACAATTCCCTAAGCATGAACTATCATTGTCCCATCAATGGACTAATATTGGCCCATTATTGAACCAACAATTCAACAACCATGAACTATCATTGTCCCATCACTGAACTGATATTGGCCCATTATGGAACTTACAATTCATCAACCATTCACTATCTTTGTCCCATTAATGGACTATCATTTGCCCATTATTGAACTTACAATTCCCCAACCATTCACTATCTTTGTCCCATTAATGGACTATCATTTGCCCATTATTGAACTTACAATTCATCAACCATGAACTATCATTGTCCCATAATTGAATTATTGAACCAACAATTCAACAACCATAAACTATCATTGTCCCATCATTGAACTGACATTGGCCCATTATTGAACTTACAATTCCCAACCATTCACTATCTTTGTCCCATCAATGGACTATCATTAACCCATTATTGAACTTACAATTCCCCCAACCATAAACAATCATTCTCCAATCATTGAACTATCATTGTCCCATCATTGAACTAACAATAATTTCTCAGACCAATTTTGCCTACAGTACAGTCCTCATTATACAGTAGTCAGCATAAGTATGTCGAACAATCCTAATAATGTTAATGACATGTGCATGATACCATCTCATGGTCAGACTAAACATACCTCAAAGCTCTATATGTAATACCTAACCTAATTGTTGCATAAAATAAGAAACTAGATTGCTATGGTGATAGGAAGTGTTGCCATGGTGATAGAGGTACCCCGGGGAAAGCTAGAAGGTTGTACAGTTCTCCAGATAAGATGTATTTCTTAACTATACAACCTACTACCTCATCCAGGAATACCCAGTCTCTGTGGCAAAGACGCAACGCAACATGCTACAAAATTTGGAACCCTCGTTCCAAATCTCTCTTACCAATGTGAACTTGATACTGTATGTTTGTACCTTCAGTGTCATGTATGTAATAAGGAAGTGCACTCGCCATCAACACATACTTGTGTTGCTATAGCACCAATGAGAATGTTAGTATTAAGCTGCATGAAGCTGAGATGGTTGCCATGACAACACAGACCCATAGAGTCGAGCTTGTGATAGATGGCAGCACAAGTTCGGATCTACGGGTTTATGTGGACAGGGATCAGAGTCGAGAGTCTAATCTATCTAGTGTTCATAAGCCAAGTATTACAGCAAGCCTGTATCTTATCTGCATCCTTACACCTACACCTGCATTATATCCTGAAACAAAGGTAGGAAGGACACGGGAACATTTCCATAGCTCGATGACAAGGACCTAAAGGGCATCAAAGATGGGGATGAACTCTTTGAACACTCCCCTATGTGCTTCATGTTTTCAAGCAATGGCGATGTGCTCTTCGGGGAATCTTCTTTTGTTGCTCCATGCCTCTATTCCTCTTGTCCTGCAATTATATTCTCTTTAACACTAATAACATTCCATCAAATATTTGCAGTTTTTTACAATTATGTTTCATCGCTGTATCGTTCATGAATGATACAATGTTCAGTGGCTTACCTGTGTTCCATGGTATATATCACTAATTGACACCTCGTGCAGTATAGCAATTAATTTACTGAGAAATATAAAATAGCATGAGACTAGGAAATAAACTGTGATCAGGTTCTTAATACAATCTCTAGGGAGCCACATTCAAATCCAACATTCCTATGTGAAAAATCCAGATTAAAATCCAGTTTTGAGAGAATGAAATGATTGGTCAAAAATGACTTCAATATCCTAGCTGACATGTTAAGTACATGCTATGATATCATGTAAATCACACAATGGAATAATGGGTTGTTGAATTCCACGAAGACATATGATGATGACTGTATATGTTTTTGATGGTGATGTCCTAGGTATGTCAAGGTACTGGCCCTGGTATATGACCTGGTAGATTCCTGGGCCTGAGGTGATCTTGTTTCAGAGTAGGTGTCAGATTAGGTAGTCCGGTTCTATCCCCAGGGTCTTCCTGATGTGATGTTCCCACTGGAAATACACAAGTATGATACATGAAAATTTGTAAAATATACTCTGGTAAAATAAATAAGTAATCTACATCGTACTTACATATTTTTTACTAAAACTCACTAATGGTCTGTTTTTGAGTTTTACTTTGGAACTTTATTATGAATTCATCTTGAAAATTGTTTTGTACTTAGCAATTTAGAATTTGTGGAATTCTATTTCAAAGTATTTTAATTTGAAGCATTAATTATATGAGACCACATATACATACATTTTTTCATCATCCCCTTATGATAAAAACTTGAATACTACAAAACCATGTATTGAAAGAAGCTGATTAATCGTATTCCTACTTAAATTAAAAATGTCTTCAGACT